GAGAGAGAGAGAGAGAGAGAGAGAGAGGGAAAGAGAGAGAGAGAGAGCGAGAGAGAGAGAGAGAGAGAGAAAAAGATTGTAACAGTGTGTGTGTGTGTGTCTGTGTGTGTGTGTGTGTATGTTTGCGGGCTCGTGGTGGGTGGCGGGGGGGTGCTGCGACCCCTCCCCCACCACTCACTCAATCAATCAATCAATCAATCAACGAAAAAAAAAAAAAAGGCAAAATCGAAAGAATCTTCCACTAGAACATGAAAATATACAATACTGCGTCTGTGTGTGCGTGTGTGTGCGCGCTTGTCGGGGGTGGGGGGGGCGACCCCACCCCCACCAATCAATCAATCAATCAATCAATCAATGAAAAAAAAAAATAAAAAAAATTGAATGAATCTTCCGCTAGGACATGAGAATATACAATCCTACTTGTGTGTGTGTGTGTGTGTGCGCCTGTGGGGCCAATCAATCAATCAATCAACGAAAAAAAAAAAAAAAAAAAAACGCGCTGCCTTTTTTTTTTTTTTTTTTTTATTTCTATCACCCCCCCCCCCCCCCCCCCAAAAAAAAAAAAAAAAAAATTTTTATTTTTTTTTTCTTTTTTTTGAGGGGGTGGGGCTGGGGATGTGCCACCCCATGGTGCTTTCCAAATCCCCAACCCCCCTCCCCACCAGCCGCCACGCGTCCGCGAAGTGGCGCGTCCACGCGGACGCATCCGCGGGGGTGGCGGACCCGGCCGCGTCAGCGGATCGGCCGCGCTTGTCTGCCGCCGAGGGTGTTACGTAGCTGACGGGATGTCACGTGACGCACATGTGATCGACCCCAATAACGCTATTTAGAAATTGACCACCTCATCATTCACCCTGCCGTCGATATGCAAGCGGGTGAAGATATATTTTACTGCAATTCGCAATTAGCCATCGGCCAGGATAGAGAGAACACTGTGAGGTGGCACCGAGCCTCGTTTAATGTCGTCCAAAACCCGCAAGCTTCGAGGCGCAGTCGCTGCAACGAATCTTTCCCCGCGTGTTCCACGTGTTCCACGTGTTGTGGCCCGCACCGTAGAACATCGAGCAAATGACACATGGGGTAGTAAGAAATAGAGTTCTAAGCATTGTGCCCTGTTGCACGTGTTGCTAAGTATTTCTCATACATGGTCTGACC